AAAAATAAGAGGTTGTTGAGCAAAGAGTTAGTAAAAGTTAGTAACCCTCTGTAATTTGGTTCATCAATCACAAATTTTTGTCCACCGAATAAAATATAAATCACTCCTACATTCAAGCAGAGAAATGTTTCAAAAAGGAAAGACTTTTTTGCATTGAGTACAAATTAATTAGTACTCCCTTTATCCTTATTTTTTTTTGCCCCATTTGACTGCACATGGAAGCGTATTAAAACGTCTATATTTTTTATTTACATATAGATAAAAATTATAAAAACGTGATATTAAAAATATATATAATGAGACGAATCTAACAACACCACTCATGACTATATTATCTTTTATAAATTAATAGTAATTTATGATCAAAGCTTTTAAAGTTTGATCCCAAAAATGTCAATGAGACAAAAATAAAGGGACTAAGGGAGTAATCATTTATTAATTTTCTATATTACTAATAAACATATATTTTTTTAATCAAAAAAAAAAAAACAAACATATTTTTTCAAGGAAAAAACACTAATAAACATATATAGTACTTCTAATGTTTAGTATTGTTTTGACAATGACTAACAGACTAAGTCAATCGTATTGTTTAATTTACTTCCATGCATTCATTATTTGTTGGTTAGTTAAAAAAGCTGTTGAAAGATTAGGTTTTGAAATATTGCATTGTTGAAGGGTTGATGAACTAAAATCTGATAAACACACGACACTATACTGTGATAGTCCGGTATGTCTAAATCCCATTTTACGGTATGTGTTAAGCTAATTACTCCAAAAGAATTTATCAGTGTTGATAATTTGTATACCTACTTGTTAGTTGTTATGCTACTTAATTTTTCATTATCACCTCTAATTATATGTGATTATTTGAGATAGAATTGTTGTTGTCGCGTTACCTTGGACATTATCATGCATGTATGTAGGCTCCTTGCTAAATTATTTATGAAAATCTTATTAAGAAATTGGTCCTAGAAGGGCCTAGAATCACTATATGGCTTTCATTTCTTTCTTGATTTCGGACCACACCAATATAAAACACAACTACAGTTCATTAAACTAGCTTATGAACATTATAATGGACCACTTCTACAATCTACAATCCTACTACATGCATTGAATGGCCAATTTAAATTTTGGTCATGTTGAAAATTTTCAAGTTGACTCTTCTAGAGTAGGAAAAAACCATCATTTTAAAAACAACTGGGTAGATTGTACTTTGACAACTTCGTATATCAACTACCTTACTTGATTAGCAATATTATTAGAGTAGTGCCAAATCCCTAATTAGAATTACATATTAACTATATCTTTCATCGTTTATAACTCTTTTAATACTAAAAAATTAATTAATCCGTAAAATAAAAAGTATTACGTACTCCCGATCCACATACAGAGTATAATATTACTGTGTAGTTAATGGGTTGTTGATGACTTCACTTTCCGGTAATTGATGGACCATTATATGTATATGATCGAGACTTATTGGCGCACCCATCCACAATTCTTAGCATTCATTGGAAAAGTGTTGGTACGTGGAGTATGCCTAATTCCATAACACCATGCTTGTGTACTCAAATTTCAACGCCTTATTTATTTGGTAATCCGACTTATACCTGCTCAGCTCTCTGATTTTTCCTCAATACAAAACAAAAAGAGGACAGAAAATGTTGAAATTAATTATGTAATGTCATACTAATGTAATTAATTTAACAGTCTATATCACTTTTCATCATGTGTTAATCAATCCACAATTCACTGCAAATTTTACAGTAGTCATCTTTAAATGACTACTACTATAGATAATTTCTATTAATCAATTTTTAATTTATTTTTTTATAAATCAAACTTATTAAATATGATTTTTCTTTTTTAAAAATTCATTTTTTTTACGAAAATTATATTCTTATATCTGGCTGACCACATGGTGTGACCAGTTATTATGGGAATTACTTCGTTAGTATTATAGAGGTTACTCAGTCAGTATTACAGAGGTTACTTCATAAGTGTTATAGGGGTTACTCCGACAGTGTCATAGGGTTACTCGGTCAGTATTATAGGGGTTACTTTGTTCTTTTACAAACGGGCTATCCTGCCGCACACAAGATACGATGTTTTGAAAATTTTTTTATTGTCATGATTAATATCCCGATGAATTTTTGAAAAAAAAAATTATTTTTTAATAATTTTTACAAAAAAAAAAAAAATCGACCAATGATTATTAAATATAAAATGATGGTCATTTTAAAAAGAATTTTGATTCCGTGTCTAAAAATTCTTTTTCAAAGATTACTTTTCAAAAAAAATAAAAAAAATAAAAAAAATTCAAATACTACATATAAATAACTGACACGGAGATGGAGTATATTTGGATTTTCCACTTGAGACAATCCCAAATACTTGTAAGGTTTTGTAGCATCAAATCAATTAAGACACATAAAATGTAACAGATCACCACTTGTATACTCGACTACTCGTGTACCGTAAATTTCCACAATGAATACGATTTGCAAATGTAGCAATCGACCAAAAATTTCCACAGTGAATATGATTTGCAATTTGCAAATGTAGCAATGATTGATAAAGTATTTATTAATCCTTGCAAGTTATTTTTAACCTTACGAGTAGAAATACAATCAATGATTTCCATATTAGCATAGAGCGATTTCCAATATACATAGACTGATAGACCTTTATACTCCCTGTCGGTATGTCCCTTTTTTTCTTTGCACTATGTGTTCACTTTATATGAGAACTTTATGAATCATATGGTGCAAAGGAAAGGGGACATAGGTAGTACTACGTATATTCTCTTCTCTCCCAAAAAGGACAAAATTAATTCTTATGTTGGCTTAACTTATATGTATAGCTTATCTTACTTCTTTATACTAACCAAGAAAGGACATACACTATACTTGATTTACACAATGCTTAATGTTCGTAACATAATCATCAATTCGGGAAAAACTAATTAGAATTGTAATTTATACGAGTAATAATTACGATGGTTGTAATAGTTTGAATTGCCATAACGTATAAGGCTAGCCATCATTAACAATTTAATTATGTATGTAGATTGGGTGATACAGAATGAGATAATCTAGTCTAATTTATAAACTGAATGAGATGTGTGGTACAACAACTCTCTATCAATTACGTTTTTAAACATAAGAAGATACGTTTTTAAACTACGGAGTACAATACAGGGAGTCACACAAAAATATGGAGCTTGATGATGAAAGGTCAATTTGCTATAAGGTTTTTCCTTGACAAAATGATAGGTAGAATAGTCAATTTGCTCAAGTTACCTCTTTCATTGATTACTATATTAATCAGCTTAGAAAACAAAACAATGTTGAAGTAATTTAAATTCACAACATTTACGACCCAAAGATATGTATTCAATATAATGTGAATGAAATACAGTAACAAAAACACTTACAAAAAAAACAAATCATATAGAGAAAAATAGTCTTTTCTAATTTAAAAAACTTTCTTGATTTATATATGAAATTGTTTGTCAAAATATTCTTGAAAGATTCTACCAACGAGGAAAACTACTTTCTTTATGCACCATTGCACCAACATTGAATAAATAGTTGAGGTTGTAAAATATATTCTGTAGTATTCTTAAATTTAATATGAAGTATATTTTTTTTTTTCAAAGCTAATACGAAGTATATACAATTATTATTCTATTTATCATTTATGGACAATCATTTAGCCAAATATACAAAAGAAAATTGTTTATAATTTAATTTTTATTTACTCAGGGCATGTAGCCATGTGATGATACAATAGGAGGTGGGAGGGATGAGTTTGGTTTAACTTTTCATGTAGCTAATTAGCTAGCCTTGTCAGGGTAAAACTTAAAAAAAGATTAGTAAATTAGTACAATAGTTGTTTAACTAGTGAAAGTAATTATGCAAACCAAACCAAGTGATGGGTTTTGCAGGGGTAAGCGCATGAGTCACATGACTGTATTTCATACCCAAAATTATTAATTATTTTCTATCACTAGTTAAGTCATCAAAGAGTAACTCTAATGGTCATGTAATACTATATCTTGAGCACCCAAAAAAAAAAAAAAATAATAATATTATATCAAATTAATTACCGAGCAGTCAAAACAAAATCTCACAATCAACAATTAATTGTCAAATTAAGTAGGGATATTTCATGAATAGCTAAGCACAATTAGAGAGAATCGATCATTTTTATTGAATAATTCTTAAATATTTGTCAAATCCTTAATATATCAACAAATGTACTATATCCTTAAAAAAATAATAATTATAGAAATCAATCAAAAGCAATCTTTTAATTCTGTTATGTTCATGAATTATACCTTATTTGACGCTTAATTTTTGATTGTTTGATATTGGCTTATTCACTTGACTTGTTTGGTCGAAATTTGAGCAAAATAACCATAAATCAATTATAATCTTTCCAGTAATTTTTTTTAAAAAAATTATTTGATGAATTTATTCTTAAGTGAACCGAAAAGCCACATTGCAAACATGTATTTTGGTTAGTATATGAAAAGACAAAAAACCATTAAGAAAATCTACCAAAAATAGCCATGTACTAACCAAAGCCATAACTCTTTCATTCAATTAAAACTTTATCAATCTCAACGTAACCATTAAAACAAAATTAATAGTATTCACCATCAGTCAGTCATAGTTATAATCCACTTAATTATATCTTATCTTCTAATAAACTTTCAAAAAAAAAAAAAAAAAAAAAAAAAAATACTTTATTACTAATTACTAATAAAATTGAAAAAGAAAAATCCATTTTCTTGTATGAAATGGAGAAAAATTCCCCAGCCATTAAGCATGCTCGCAATCATGACCATTTTTCTTCCCAAATAGACAAATTTATGTTGAAGACAGATCTTACCCACCCAAATTTGAGGAAAAAAAGAAAAAAAAAAACTAAAAGAAAAAGACAGGCCAAAAAAAAAAAGAAAAAGTGTAAACTCTATATAAAGGTCTTATTAAGCCACTAAACCCTACTTCTTCTCAATTTTGAGGCTCTTTCACTCATGGCTTCCTCACCAAAATTTGTGTGCCTCTTTTTTCTTCTTACAATCTTAGTTTGCTCAATCCAAACCTATGCTAGAGATAGCCAATTCTTTAGCAAGGTTACACGAAAGCGCGACGATGCCACCACCACCACAACCATCAACCCAAACACTAACAACAATTACTTCACCAACAACAAAGTAGATGATTTTGTACCATTAAACAAGCAAGAAAAGAAAGATGAACAACCCGTTTTCCTCCCTCAAACCACCGAAACCGGTTACGGCCTATACGGGCACGAAACCGGCCTAGATGCCCCTTCTACCACCACCACCCCAAATTCCTTGTACAACATGGATGAAAACAACAACCAAAAGTACGAGAGTTTCAACAACTACTACAAGAACAACAATGAAAATCATGAGAAGAATTACACACCCGAGTTGAAAGGTTTGTCCGGTACTACCTACACCGAAAAGACTCCTATGTCATACAACAATTTTAACGATGAAGGTAAGTTCTATGAAATCAACAACAGCAACAACGATGAGAATTTCAATTTCATGAACAACAATGAGTATCATCATGAGAAGAATTACGAGCCCCAGTCGACTTACAACAATGGTGTAGGTAAGTACTATGGTGCATCATCTAGGTACAACAATGGTGCGGTGGAGAAACAAGGAATGAGTGATACACGGTTCATGGAAAATGGAAAGTATTACTATGATGTTGGTGCTGAAAATAATAATAATAATAATGGTGGAAAATATTACTATGATGTTGATAATGTTGAGAATAAGTATAATAATGGAAACAAGGAGAATAATTATTACGAAGATGTTTACAACAGCAACAAGAAGTACAACAACAACAGGTTCTTCAATGGAAATGGCATGCAAGAGGAGTTTGATTTTGATCAACCTTAATTAGAATAGATTATATTATGATGATAACTAAGATTTAATCTTCTTTACATGGATGATTAAGTTAAGGTTATGTATGTATGTTATTTGGGGTTAGTTAAGCACAGGTGATATGATACTTTTTTTTTTTTAAAATATATAATTATGGTGCTTATTGTAAGATTATGAAGATTATGTTGGTTTTTATTATTTAAGTTTTTCCATGTTTTGTGGGTTGTGGATAGTTTATTTCATGCTGAAACAAAGTTGAGTGTGAAAGTGAAGTTGTATGGTTTAAATATTTTAATAAATATATATTGTTCAAAATATGTTGTTGCTCTTCTTTTTATGTACTTAGCCATAGTCAAGATAATCTTACTTTAGAAAAATATAGGGGGAAAAAAGTCATGAAAGTTTGTGGCATGTAAAAAAGTAATGACTACTTGACTAGTATGTACTAAGCTAGTACATACTGAATTTGTTTAATGTTGATTTTTTCTGACTCTATATCTAATTAAGTATTAGACGTACACATATAGCTTTATCTTTTATAATCATCAAGAATATATGATGTTGAGTTACTCATCCATATCTGCCCATTTAATTTGGTGAAGTATTGAATTTTATGAGGGCATGGAGTAGTAGGAATGATGAACCCATTTGGTAATATTATAATGTTATACTCTAAGAAAGTAATTATAATGGTAGTTGTGTGATTAAGGCGAAAGCAATAGTAGAAATGATTGCTTTGATATTTCAACGAACCAAATCGATCACATCTTTAATTGGCAAATTAAAATGGCATACTGTTTTATTTCATCCTATTAACAGTTGGAAGCTTAAAATAATAAATCATCTTATTTTGGTTACAAATTATTATGAGTCTTCCTTACCTGTTCATGAATCATGAGAATATTCTAAAAAGTTTATACAAAATATCTTATAAATATTAGGAAAATTATAAATGGATGTTTCTATATTGTGTGTATGTATATGTGTTTAGAAATTTATATGAAATCTTTTATGTCTAGGGAAAAGTTTGATAATTAGAGATTCTTGTATATTAAGAATTATGATCTTCAAAATAATCTATAGATTATTTCTAATTGCTTATGGAAAATATAATTTCTAATATCTCTAATTAAAAAAGCGAAATTTATTGTTACACTTAAAAATTTTGTACACAAAAAAGCTCGAGCTAGTATGATCAATGTTTAAACCAAAATGGAGTACAAGTGCATAAAAAACATATAACATGCAAGACTTACTTAAAGATAATATTGTGTTTTCAGCAATGTCAAAATTACTCACTAATGAACCTTGGCACCTTGCACTAGTTGTCCCCCACTATTTATGCAATGCGCAAAATCATGTACAGATGTACTCCATTACCTCCGTAACATGTTTGTATGCCAAATTGGACTGTTTATATACATCCGAATTTTAGGTGCATTCAAGGGTAGTTTTTGTTCAATTAATAATTAAATAAATACATCATATGCATACGCCTAAATGTATATTATAAAAAAAATATCCCTATAAAGTTAAAAACAAATTTCGCCTAAATCTACTGTAGAGTATCCTTTATAACTCTCTTTAAAACAGAAAACAACAAAACGCCAATACGGTCCACCTCATGCTCCAAAGTTTATGAAATCCGATTAAATTATCATCTCTAATTAACTTCATTTTGATTTAAGGAACCTAGCAAATGCCCTACAATGGTCAATGTGGGGATTATCTTTAATCCCCGTGATTGGCGGACCAACTTTTAAACTGTCCTTTTGACTTACAAACTAAAATATTCTTATGTGTAGTTGCATTGTATATGATTAAGACGAGTTGGAGGAATTTTACTAAGGACCCTAATATTGGTCACCTAGCTTCCACTTTATTTATTTATTTTTTATTTTCCTATTTTATTTATTTATTTGGTTTTTTTTTTTTTTTTTTTTTTGGGTGGGGGGTGGGGGGTGGGAGGGGATCCTAAGAAAGGGAGGATATGTTAATGATTTAAAAATTAAAGGTGCCATATCCCTATTGAGTAGTAAGTTCGCACTAGATGAGTTGTGCTTTACATAATTAGTTAATGTCCCTTGCCACTATATTATTAATTTTGTTGTCTAAGCAATTTGATGCATAATTATGACTCTCTTTGTTTCTTTTTTCTCTTACAATTTATCCTCTGTCAATATGTAGGTTAGATATTGTTCGGAAATCTATTATTGGTTGTATTTGTTAATTGATTGATTCACGTGACTTGTTCGATCAATTGATAATATTGGTAATTTGTACGGGTTGTTGTCATATAAGTAATTTAATTATTTGGTTAGATATTTGATATGAGTAATGGTGATTGTTAGATGTTTATGTGTAATAAAAACAACATTTGTTAAGGCTAAACCAACTAAAACAAGAAAAGGAACAAAGAGGGAAGCTACTGATTGAATAGCAATACAAAAACTCAAACCTATATATCTATACCGTTGTCGAAATCGTTGTAACTGAAGAACCCTAGACAACGGCGACAGGGGACCTTGAGAAGTCGAAGCCGAAATCCTCAAACCTTAAAAACGGCCAACCGACCTAACTATTACAAACACGAAACCCTAACCCCCAACTTCACCTATACCGACGAGGTTAACTTTTCCACAATAACCACCAACGGCGGCGTTGGGAGTAGCCCTTTGGAATTAGATTATCAAAGACTCCTTGGAGTAAACTCCCTCCGTTCAAAACATTGTTTAACCGACAAGCTAAACTACTACCAAGGAAAAAGGCCGACAAAACAAACTAAAAGAACTAGAAGTTGCACGCCGGCGACTCAAGACAAGTGAAGTTGCTTAGGCCACCGGTGGCAGTGAGAGATGAATTTTGGGAGTTTTGGTTTAGATAGAAGGTGGAGAGTTTAGAGAGAAAAAAGATAAGTCCTCGTTTTTAGTTTAATTTAAGGAAGTAATTGTTATTCTTTCTGTGGTTTTGACGTTGGGTTGTGTTACCCTCTACAGTGCTAGATTTTTAAGTTTTCTTGTTCACCTATTTCACTCTGCATAAATGGAGCTTTTGGATAGCAGGGTGTCTATAGGTAGGGGTCTAACTGTGTTTTTTTGGTCTATGATTGAGTATTTAGAGGGTTGTGAAGGAATGATCAAGGAAAGCTAATCCCCAATGTTGGTTAGCAATGATGTTTGAGGTCATTGCTTTCAAAAATTTCTATCTGAAAGAGGCTCCCCTTACACATGGTTTAGGGGTTCATAGCGCTTTAGTGAAGTTGTGTCTCATCCCATTTGAGGAGGATAGACCGACTGTACCCTTTCGTATGGGTACTGAGTCACAAGGAAATGTGGCTCTAGTTGTGGTAAAGAGCCAAGAATCTCACTTGACTGTTCTTACTTTGGGTTATTGGAATTGCTCTTACTGTGAGCATCAAGCTTTGCTCATAAATTTATCTCAATCAGGCCATAGGTTTTCGTTCCTTTTACTACTCCCTTCCTTTGTCAAGTTCTATTGGTGTCTTCTAGTTCCTTGTCAAGTTTTCTACCCTAGACTCTACACTTTCTGCTACAACAATGCAACCAATATATGTTATGGGTTCATGTTATTGCATAGCACAGGTAGTACGGTTTGTGCTTACAGGTTTCTCCGCTATGCTTTGTGGATTCCGTAGACCAATGAGGGCTCCGAAAAGCGCAAATTACCAACTTTATTGCTTTGTTTCTTTTTGGTTTGTATGAGCTAGTAATTGTAGTGTGTATGCTACTTTCTTTTACTTAGTTTAGGTTGCAATACTGTTTTTCGTTCAATGATCTCTTTGTAAAATAAAAAAAATCTAAAACAATTAGTAGATATCAATTTAAATCATTAAAATCGTTAATCAATAGAATTTATTTCAAATGGTGAAAAAAATCATTTTCAATTCACTTATAATAATGAGTCAAATAGATGAGCAATGTATGAACTGACTGCACCTCCTCTAAATATGGGCTTAAAACTCAAACTAACATAATTGGGGAGACCTCTATGATGCATTCGGCCTCAAGTGTTGAGTGCTCTAGAAGTATAGTTGTCGTGGAGACAGGCCAGGCAGCAACGAAACTCGAAGTTGTTAGATTAAAACAACCATTAATAAGTTTTAAGGAGATCTTGTTCAAATGGATGGAATTCATATCAGGCTAGCTAGGACAAGCAATTTCAGTAAATAAATACTATCCAATTGAAGCAGAATCGATGCAGAATTATTTGAGTTATAGCAAGAACAACAACATCCAATGGCGATTAGCTTCTACTCGGGTTACAATCAATAGTCATTTGCTTGATCTAACAACAACTTCACTTGTTTCTGTATGGGGTGATACCGATAACGGATATACTCATGCCGATATCACCCCTTTTACTCAATGCACGGATTCCTACTATGATACATAACAACCATATCGGTATACTCTCATAATGACAAAGGAAACAATCGTCCTGCGAGCAACACGTGGCGTTAGGCGACCAACACCTGGCATGTATGTTGCTTGCATGGCATGCAACCACCTGGCAGATGAATCCTCTACAAATAGGCAAGTTAATTCTTCATTAAGAGGTAGCATTTTTATTACACTCTCTCTCTCTCTCTCTCTCTCTCTCTCTCTCTCTCTCTTCTTCTTCTTAAACACTTTCTGACTTTACCATCGGAGTGGTTATCCCCGGACTCACCCCGGGGTTAGCTAATCCTTATTTCCTGTGTAGGTGCTTACCCGGACGATAGGGTCTTCACGGATCCTGGATACGGGTTGTCGGGTTACATCCAGAACAATTGTATTGTTTTTAAGACAGACGTATATAATGACAAAGTAAACATGATCGAAATACAAAAGTAATTAAAGTAGCAATTTACAGTCGACAGGCATCACCACAAAAAGGGTACATGTCGATAAACAGCACAAGCAAAAGAAAGAGTTTTAAAGTAAACAAAAATTCAAAAACATCAATGCTGATAAGGCCCAAGTACACATGAGTCGCATGATGATATCGGTGATGACTGCCCACCCCCTCAGGCTTAAGGCGCTTCCGTGCCCTCGGTACTGGAGAGTTCAGAAGGTTGGGGTCCACCAAAGCATCATCTCCATTAGGATCGGCGTTGAAGAGATCCTCATAAGCAAATTGTTGTTGCTCAAAGCTAGTAGCATGCTCATGAGCTTTCTTGTCGAAGGATGCCTCGACCTTAGCCCAATCAAGTTTCGTCCAGCCGGTAACCTGAACAACACACCTCTGAGCTGTAGTCCACCCACCGTCATAACAATTCTGAAGTCTTTCTATGAAATCAATATACTTCAGGTACCTA